ACTTTTATTTTTTCAGTAGGGCGACAACTTAAATGTTCCCCTAAATATTTGTTTCGTTCTCCTCTTTTCTTCAGAATCACAGCTCAGCTCAGTTTGTTTGAAGTCACAGGCCTGGCCAGTAACCGACCTGCACCTACGCTCCTGTCGTCCCGTAAGGCAGCCACAGGATCGGGCACCCCGCTGCTCTGCATCCTGTTTGAGACCAACCCGCTGGACGAGAGCGCCAACCAGCGGCTCCATGTGGAATCACAGCCTTTAGAAATCATCTATGATGCTGTGAGTGGTTTCTTCTCAGGATTAAAGTATGAGCATGAAACATTCAGATGCATATTAAATGTGTTGTTTGTTTGTGTAGATAACGGTGAACAGCATGTCGCTGTTCTTCATGCCTCCTGACGACCTGCAGCTGGACGAGCTCACCAACGCCACCCTCATGAAACTGGAGCAGTTTAGAGACCGCACAGCCACAGGTCAGTTACACCAACATGTACATGACCTGTACTGAGTATCAGGAGGGAGGCAGAGCTTTGTCTCAACTTTTCTGAAGGGCAAATATCTACATTTCTCCGTCGTTGTTTTTCATGCGTCATTTAGTTTCTTCACGTGCTCATGCAGAGTCTGATGAGTAAGTTGGATTGTTGTTTTCCTGTTTATGTTTTCGAGACTGATTGTTTCCTGAGATTTCTTTGCTACAATTTCGAGCCTTGTCTTCATTTCCTTTATCTCATTTGGATACAAGTTCATAGGCTTCTGATATTATTTCATTAAGGCAATTTAAGGCCTAACATTTCAAGGATTTAACGTAATGTTTTATTGAATTATTCCTAGAGTGCTATTAAAATGATTTTCTTAAAGGCAGGGTTGGTAATTTTCTCCAGATCTTTGCTAGGCATCACCAATTTATCAGAAAAAATCACAACGTTTCGGTCCCTCTGAACCTTGTTGAGGGTAGTGTGTGTGATTTTATTTTATTTTTTTTCTCTTTTCAATGTGATAGTTTGATGTCCTATTCACCTACTTCATGAGAGAGTTGGATGTGTGAACTCCTCTTTTAAAACAATCTCTGTACTTGTGAAATTGGCAACAAAAATACACCATGATATATTTGTTAAGACGGAGAATTCCTAAGTGTTAAAATGAATCAAGATTTGTATTTGTCATCATTATTTGTGTAATAGATCAAACCGATGAATCTGGTGTTCTGGCTATGGCTATTATTTTAATTGCATTTTGTCCTTTTGTAAGGTTTAATGTACGTGATCGAAACCCAGAAAGTTCTGGACCTGAAGGTGAACCTGATGGCCTCATATGTCATCATTCCACAGACGGGCTTCTACAACGGCACGCAGAACATCATGCTGCTGGATCTCGGTCATTTCCAGGTCAGGAAGTGCAAACAAGTGACTGTGTTAGTTTCTCTGAAGATACACAAGATGCTCTGAAAAAATGAAAAGTCAAGTGAATTTAGCAGTTTCATTTATTTTCCAAAGGAATCGAAGGTTTTAAACAGCGATACCGTACATTAAATGTTATTTTGATGTCTTTTTTTTCAGATGTCCAGTCAAAGCAAGAAGCACCTGCCTCAGCTGTCAGTGGGCTCCTGCAACATTGAAGACCTCATGTCGAGAGCGTACGACAGCTTTGATATCCAGCTAAGCAGCCTGCAGTTTCTTTACAGCAAACCAGGTACACACACACACACACACACACACACACACACACACACACACACACACACACACACACACACACACACACACACACGAGAGCATGCACCCAGTCGAGTGTTGAAGGGATTTTACCGAGAGGCCGAGAGGTCACTTATGAGTTTCAGCTGATTTAAACTACTCTTGGAGACGTCAGGATGCTCAAACTTCTTTTAATGAAAAACAGTGTAACCGTTCAGAAAGAGTTACTGTATCAAGAAAATCAACATCACTCCAACAAAATGATCTTTTTTTGTGTGTGTGTGATGTTAAACTTTCTCGCTGTGATAGATGGTGACTGGAAAATGGCCCGTAAGCAGAAGCGTTCACCTCTCCACATCCTAGAGCCGGTGGATCTTAAGGTCGTTTTCAGCAGGGCGATGGTCGTCAAAGACTCCCGCATGGCAAAGTAAGTTTGTAGTTTTTTTTCTTCTACGTGGATATTATTATATTTCCCATTTTGGAAGCATCAAAAAAGCTGAGTGGACATGAATGAAAGGTTATCCGTTTGTGTGTTTGTGTTTGCATCGTCAGGTATAAGATGTCAGGAGAGCTCCCCCTGCTGTCTCTTCGTATTTCTGATGTCAAACTTCGGAGTGTTCTGGAGCTGGTAGACAGTATCCCACTGCCCGAGAGCAGACCTGCAAACAGCTCGGCTCCTTCCAAGGTAAGACCTGCAGAAAATAAGTAAATGAGTTACACAATTAATGTGTTACCAAAGTGCTGCACAGTGAATTAACAGAACATAAATGCATAAAACCCAGAAAAGGTACATAAACAAAAATGACATGAAATCACAAACAGAGCACATAAACCTGCAGATACATTAAACACTTAACTTAACACAAAAGGCAGAGAGCACACAAGTACTGTGTTTACATGTTTATTTGGTTATAAGCAAATGTATTTGCTGGTTTGGGTCATGATTTAATTTCCTTTGCTCCTCAGCCGAGGTCGTTCACCCCTCAGCTCACTCCCAGGAGACCTCTGAACCTGGCTGACCAGCGCTCGTCTCTCATGTTCGAGTCATGTGAGACCATCAGCATCACCTCATTGGGTGAGAGACACTGCACATCCAGTATCCCGCTTTGCCCCTCAAAAATCCCTTTTTCACACATGCACAAATCTCCTGAAAACTTTAGGACATTTTGATGTGAGGTTAGGAATTGCAGAATTTTTCACCCGACTTTATCCAGACTTTTTTTCTACGAGTAAAATTTGAGCAAGAAGCCAGGGTGAGCGGATGTGTGAACTGAACTGCACCACTTGCGTCACAGAAATGTCATCACCCAATGCCCTCGCTTGGGGTAAATGTCCCTGAGTCTTTCCTGCTGTGTTCACACATCCGCTCACCCTGGCTTCTTGCTCAAATTTTACTCGTAGAAAAAAAGTCTGGATAAAGTCGGGTGAAAAATTCTGCAATTCCCAACCTCACATCAAAATGTCCTAAAGTTTTCAGGAGATTTGTGCATGTGTGAAAAAGGGATTTTTGAGGGGCAAAGCGGGATACTGGATGTGCAGTGTCTCTCACCCAATGAGGTGATGCTGATGGTCTCACATGACTCGAACATGAGAGACGAGCGCTGGTCAGCCAGGTTCAGAGGTCTCCTGGGAGTGAGCTGAGGGGTGAACGACCTCGGCTGAGGAGCAAAGGAAATTAAATCATGACCCAAACCAGCAAATACATTTGCTTATAACCAAATAAACATGTAAACACAGTACTTGTGTGCTCTCTGCCTTTTGTGTTAAGTTAAGTGTTTAATGTATCTGCAGGTTTATGTGCTCTGTTTGTGATTTCATGTCATTTTTGTTTATGTACCTTTTCTGGGTTTTATGCATTTATGTTCTGTTAATTCACTGTGCAGCACTTTGGTAACACATTAATTGTGTAACTCATTTACTTATTTTCTGCAGGTCTTACCTTGGAAGGAGCCGAGCTGTTTGCAGGTCTGCTCTCGGGCAGTGGGATACTGTCTACCAGCTCCAGAACACTCCGAAGTTTGACATCAGAAATACGAAGAGACAGCAGGGGGAGCTCTCCTGACATCTTATACCTGACGATGCAAACACAAACACACAAACGGATAACCTTTCATTCATGTCCACTCAGCTTTTTTGATGCTTCCAAAATGGGAAATATAATATCCACGTAGAAGAAAAAAAACTACAAACTTACTTTGCCATGCGGGAGTCTTTGACGACCATCGCCCTGCTGAAAACGACCTTAAGATCCACCGGCTCTAGGATGTGGAGAGGTGAACGCTTCTGCTTACGGGCCATTTTCCAGTCACCATCTATCACAGCGAGAAAGTTTAACATCACACACACACAAAAAAAGATCATTTTGTTGGAGTGATGTTGATTTTCTTGATACAGTAACTCTTTCTGAACGGTTACACTGTTTTTCATTAAAAGAAGTTTGAGCATCCTGACGTCTCCAAGAGTAGTTTAAATCAGCTGAAACTCATAAGTGACCTCTCGGCCTCTCGGTAAAATCCCTTCAACACTCGACTGGGTGCATGCTCTCGTGTGTGTGTGTGTGTGTGTGTGTGTGTGTGTGTGTGTGTGTGTGTGTGTGTGTGTGTGTGTGTGTGTGTGTGTACCTGGTTTGCTGTAAAGAAACTGCAGGCTGCTTAGCTGGATATCAAAGCTGTCGTACGCTCTCGACATGAGGTCTTCAATGTTGCAGGAGCCCACTGACAGCTGAGGCAGGTGCTTCTTGCTTTGACTGGACATCTGAAAAAAAAGACATCAAAATAACATTTAATGTACGGTATCGCTGTTTAAAACCTTCGATTCCTTTGGAAAATAAATGAAACTGCTAAATTCACTTGACTTTTCATTTTTTCAGAGCATCTTGTGTATCTTCAGAGAAACTAACACAGTCACTTGTTTGCACTTCCTGACCTGGAAATGACCGAGATCCAGCAGCATGATGTTCTGCGTGCCGTTGTAGAAGCCCGTCTGTGGAATGATGACATATGAGGCCATCAGGTTCACCTTCAGGTCCAGAACTTTCTGGGTTTCGATCACGTACATTAAACCTTACAAAAGGACAAAATGCAATTAAAATAATAGCCATAGCCAGAACACCAGATTCATCGGTTTGATCTATTACACAAATAATGATGACAAATACAAATCTTGTTTCATTTTAACACTTAGGAATTCTCCGTCTTAACAAATATATCATGGTGTATTTTTGTTGCCAATTTCACAAGTACAGAGATTGTTTTAAAAGAGGAGTTCACACATCCAACTCTCTCATGAAGTAGGTGAATAGGACATCAAACTATCACATTGAAAAGAGAAAAAAAATAAAATAAAATCACACACACTACCCTCAACAAGGTTCAGAGGGACCGAAACGTTGTGATTTTTTCTGATAAATTGGTGATGCCTAGCAAAGATCTGGAGAAAATTACCAACCCTGCCTTTAAGAAAATCATTTTAATAGCACTCTAGGAATAATTCAATAAAACATTACGTTAAATCCTTGAAATGTTAGGCCTTAAATTGCCTTAATGAAATAATATCAGAAGCCTATGAACTTGTATCCAAATGAGATAAAGGAAATGAAGACAAGGCTCGAAATTGTAGCAAAGAAATCTCAGGAAACAATCAGTCTCGAAACATAAACAGGAAAACAACAATCCAACTTACTCATCAGACTCTGCATGAGCACGAGAAGAAACTAAATGACGCATGAAAAACAACGACGGAGAAATGTAGATATTTGCCCTTCAGAAAAGTTGAGACAAAGCTCTGCCTCCCCTCCTGATACTCAGTACAGGTCATGTACATGTTGGTGTAACTGACCTGTGGCTGTGCGGTCTCTAAACTGCTCCAGTTTCATGAGGGTGGCGTTGGTGAGCTCGTCCAGCTGCAGGTCGTCAGGAGGCATGAAGAACAGCGACATGCTGTTCACCGTTATCTACACAAACAAACAACACATTTAATATGCATCTGAATGTTTCATGCTCATACTTTAATCCTGAGAAGAAACCACTCACAGCATCATAGATGATTTCTAAAGGCTGTGATTCCACATGGAGCCGCTGGTTGGCGCTCTCGTCCAGCGGGTTGGTCTCAAACAGGATGCAGAGCAGCGGGGTGCCCGATCCTGTGGCTGCCTTACGGGACGACAGGAGCGTAGGTGCAGGTCGGTTACTGGCCAGGCCTGTGACTTCAAACAAACTGAGCTGAGCTGTGATTCTGAAGAAAAGAGGAGAACGAAACAAATATTTAGGGGAACATTTAAGTTGTCGCCCTACTGAA